TCAAAGCATTCATCCATTGAACGTGAATTCAAGGTGGACTGTGGGAGGAGGTTTGGACGTTGCACGTTGCAGAATCCCTCCGAGCCCCGCCGCTGCTTGTTTAGACGGGTTCGCCAGTCTCGTTGCTTTTGTTATGATTGCCAAGTATCCATAACGCCAAACCGAATACTATCCAGTTCCTGGATTACATCGGGTGGGTACCAAATAGCTTGGTCCGTTTCGTCTCCATGCAACTACGAGGCTGGTCATCTAGATAGCATGTAACTTAGCGCAGTGCACATGTTCCATGTATGAATCTTTATGGATAGCGTTGTAGGCTTTACACTACTAACAATTGTAGGTTTATCTTCTATGGATATCCCGTTCATGGCTACGATTGAAGAAGTGAAAGCCGGGAACAGGCATGTTGGCCCGGGTCGGCATCGGAGCGGTCAAGGGAAGGGGAGAAGTCGAGAAGGTGTGGGCGGATGGAACTCGAGGAAAGGTATCCGTGTGGATGACGGAAGGCGGGATTTGCAGAGGGCCAGCAAGGTGCCGGGCCTTTTCTGCCTCACCGTACGGAGGGCATATCCGTACGGATACATTGGGTGGTGCGGATAGCTTATCTTTGTTTGTTTTTTGTCTATCCCCTGAGCTTGTATTTTTTTTTTCTTTCGTTTTGAACTACCGCCGGAGGAACCAGTGATGTGCTCCCAGGAATCGATCAAAGAGCGACGACCAGGTTATCAAAGATATGTTCGGGTTGGCTGGGGCTCTTCGGGGCAATCGTACTGGAATCGGGAAGCAGCGCCGGGAACTGGCTGGAACCCCCCACTCCCTCGAGGCTCGGTCTCTGCGGTCCCCCTCGGTCTCTGGGTGGGTGCGAGCGGGAAAGTGTCAAAGCACCCTGCCTGCCACTGCCAGTGCTTTCCGCCCGTCATCGGGGGCACGGGGGGTCGGACTTGAGGTCCGTGGTTTTCCCTTACCTAAGGCACCGAGGGCACGGTCCTGCCTTCCCTGGGGGTTGAGGACTTGAGGTTGGACGTTGGTATGTGCCTTGGAACTCAGGTGTCTAGGGAGAGAAGCCCGGGAAGGAGGAATGAAAGGCAGAACACGATACGTACCTTAGCTTCCAGTAAGGAACCCTACGGTCTTACCCCCTCATCCTCCCGATACACTCCCATTCCGGTCTGCCATGGCAGCACCAACACCAACACCAACACCGGACGGGAGGGATCGCCTCACCTCTTGGAAAATTCCATCTTCGGCGCTAGAACAAATCTCCTGCATCGCTCCTGCACCGGTCCTGCATCGCCTAAACAAGCCGCCGTCACGCTACAGCTTCCTTACTTTCTCCTAAGTTCCTAACCTAAGGTACCTAGCGTAGGTACTTTGGTCAAAGTATTTCTGCGCCACAAATCATCGACACTCCGGAGTGCGGATACTTACACTACCGACTTCGTACACAGAAACACCTAGGTATCTCCTCCGTTCGGCATCATGATTGGCATCTTTCAGCTGCATCGTAGGTTCGAGAAATGTTGGTTCCAGACCATCTTGATACACTATCCGTACGCCGTCTTCTATTTCGCTCTTTGCCGTCGATATGCATAGAGTTGAGTGCAAGGGCGAGGGTGAGCAGCAATTCTCCGCCTTTCCGCTTCACTTCACTCGATTCCCTCGATCCCAAGAAAGGACCACCATAACACCACACGGAGGACATATCCGTGCTTCACACAGCCGAACACACAATACTAGGATCGAGCAGACGGATAAGGCGCATCAAGGGACAGCCTACAGTCCGTGCTCGCTCTCCTCTTCCTCGTCCACTCCGTCAGCCTTGAACCGCCCTCTTCCAGCATCCAGCAAGCATCTTTTGTAACCCCCGCCCCAATCCTCTCCGATCTAGCCCGGCTTAACTTCGCACTTGGCCGACGATGAACCAGGGGCAAGGCGTCTCGAGATGCTATACACAGCAGCTTAGCGTCGAAAAAAAAGCCCTCTGCAGAGTACTTTGCCTTACAAGGCCGCTATCCTCGTTCAAGGGGGATGGAAATCCGTCACAGACGCCTGCGAGCGCGCACGAAACCCTGCCGTCTGCTCGAGGGCCCCGGTAAACTCAATGCCAATTCCAAAAACCTCGACAAGGCCGTTTTACACCATAAGCGGAAAGATGGTGCTTGGCACGGTAAGGTACGGGTAAGGATAGTTAACCGGTCGGTAGGTTAGGTTTTACGACTAGGTCGAGTGGGCAGACAATGAGCCAGACCCAGACCGACCCGAACCAGGCCAGAGAGACCTTCAACCCAAGCCCCCAGGGCCCCAAAGCTGAGTGGTGTGTGTGGAACACTGATCCTCGACCACTGGCAGTTGCTCGGCACTTTCCGGTCCAGGATTCGGCTCCCTGCTTTTCGGGGCAGTGAAATCCGGCGATTTTACATCATCGCCAAAACGTCGGATGCTGAAAGACTCCGGTGGTGCTTCAACCCCCGTCCAAGACTCTCGAAACCCTAGTCCTGGACCTGGCAACACTCGAGAGCGGGCACAGTCGCTGGCTAGTGGAAACCCCTCATGACCCAGCTCCCAGCTCCCAGTTCCCAGCTCTGGCTCAAACCAGCACCAGCTCCAGCTCAAACCCCAGCCCCGGCCGGCGGGGTAGCAAGAACGCTGCACTGGGACTCGATTGGATTGGATGAATTCCTCGCTGGTTTAACCTCGCGTCACCTCCCCACCTAACGACCCTCAACCCAGACATCGTGCACCAGAGTGAAGAGCACAGCACACCAAAAGGCACAGGCGTAAGGCGCAGACACGATAGCATCAACTCTGATGCCCTCGCTATCTAATGCGGCTGCCCATGGCCCTGATGAACGCTCGGGCGCTCATCTCTCCCCAGGTTCATAGCTGGAAAGCGCTACGCCTCAAAGGGTCAAAATCTTGACCAAAAAAGATAACTGTTGCTACAGTACCTTACATCGAAGCTCAGGTAAGGCAGGTGTTTCCGCGAGAATTCACCTCGAGTCGGGAAGTTGCAGGTTCTAAAGCAGGGGGGAATTCAAAGTCCACCAGAGCTTCTGTCCAAAGTGGAAAAGCTCACCTGGAGATGTGCGGCCGCCTTCCCTTCTTCACCCACCTCATACAATCTGCCTTGCGAATTTCCAAGCCTACCTACCTTACAAATACGGATACCTTGCTTCGGTACCCGTTCTGGCCTACACTATCCGTACACTACGAATACGGATACAGATACAGAAAGTCCATAATTCACCCTGCCGCATCGACCATTGCCAAAAGGGTTCATTGCAAGGCCCATGACAACCTTGGGCCATTATTGATGGGTCAGCTCAACCTTTCCCCCGGTTTTCAGCGTCGCATTTTCATCCATATCCTGTTGCGGGACGGAGTGGGCGACGCACCAACCCTCCGGCAATATCCTCGCATCCTCTTCCCCGTCACCTTCAGGGGCCCTGGAACGGGGTGAGGAGAAAAATAACCCAAGTCGACCAGCTGTCAAATGAAAGACCAAACAAGACGGCCAAATGAAACCTAGTCCTGCTTGTACACAGCACGCTGGCAAGCGGGCGAATGGTCCGCCCGCATCCAGCACCGCCCACTCGTCCCGAGCCCATGGGGCGTCCTGATGCCGTTGAACTCTGATGCATCGGTGCATCCCCGGTTCGAACATGGCCAGCCTAGTACTGTCGGACCTGGCCCGGCCGGGTCTTCACTGCCCTTGACGGAGTGCCGTTGCACGCGTCAATACTGCCTACTACGGATACGTAGGGTACGGATGCCCACGCACGCACTGCCCTTCATCCAAAGTTGCTTGGCGCCAAAGTATTTACCCAGAACTTGGTTGCTGGCTATTGCTGAGAGCAGTCTCACTTGTGGTTTGTCGTCGACAATGTCAGACACCACACACAGGACCAGCACAAGTTGAGGTAACCCTGCAGAGCGGGCGAAACCCGCAAGCCAAGCCTCGATTCAGGACGATGTCCCCTGGCTGGGACTGGGTACGTATCCCATCTCTCCCAGCCCATCCCCTGCCACTCAGTCAAAGTGACTCCGCGACTCCTCTGATCGCTGATAGTTCACTGCCTTTTAATCTATCGTTAGCGCGGTCGTCTACATCACTTACGTATTCTCAGGAGTTTGCCTTGGAAGGCGCCAAACTCTAAAGCACTTCCTGTCGTCAGGTTTTCGATCGTCTGATGCATCTCGACTCTTGCGGAGACAGCAACTTGCATACGCGATAGAGAGAGGGCCCGAGGGGGCAGATGTATTACACGTCGACCCATAATACCATGTCGGCTTGCGCGAAGCGAAGGCTACTGGAGCGTTCGTGGCATGCGCCTAGCCCGTTGACGAGGCCCAGTCGAGTTGAGATGTAAGACTTCTCTGACACCAGATCTCGACTTTACGGGTGACGCTATTCTGCATGTGTCAACGCCCGCTGCGAGACAAGATCGGCCAAGACGGCGACGGCAACACGATCGTTCCAAGGCAGAACAAGCTGTGGAGGTAGACTGCAGCCTATAGACATCGCCAATATCTCACTTGATCAATTGTCTTGCTTCTCGGAGTCCGGACCTCTGCATAGCGGACACTACGAGACCCAGAACCAAGACTCGAGACCTCCAAAGAACTGGTACTTGGGTCTGGCTCCTCTCTCTATGGGCCCGCCACGTTCGCTACCTACCATCGCCCCTCCTCTGGTGTGCCTATGTTGATTACTCCGTCCCTTCGCCGGCAGCCCGCGAACACCTCATGCATCTTGGCTCTGGCGGCTGGCCCTCAGCGCACGCGCGTCCGTCGTACGCATTGCTGTCTACTCCGTAGACAAAGATGGTGGCAGTGGTTGTGGCTCATACACAGGAGCCTCTCGGAAGATAGGTAAGACGCAAAGCGATTGTTGACAGGGCTCAGACCGAAGCGAGTCTAGGAAGGGCGGTCAATTTGTCGCCCGTACCACCTTGCATTAATTGATTATCCAAGGCTCCGCATCGTGTCAACCATCTCCTTGGACAACCCACATAATACATTGTACAAGTTGCAACATATTCAACAAAATGGAGCACTGGAGCACGCCCAGAGATACGGAGGGGCCCGGATGCGGCACACGAAAGAGAGAGAGAGAGAGCGAGGCTTAACTCGTCCAAGACTCCAAGTGGAGGTGACATCTTGCAGGCGAACCCACTCCACGTCACAGCATATCCATGCCATTCCTCCCCTCAACACCCGAGCCCAAAACACACTCATTTTCATCTTGTTGCACCCCCACCGGGAATGGGGAAAGGAAGACATGTCGAGAGGGGCAAGGGAGGAGATGGGGCGTCAGTGGGATGGTCCATATCCAGATCGGCGTCTACGAGGCACGACACGGCTGGCGCAATATCGCTGCTTTCCAGGTCTTTGGTATTGAACACGGCCTGCTGCCGTCCTTGGATCATCAAATGGTCCCATGTTGCTCTCAAATTAGAATAAGAATGCTGCTAGTGTAGCAGACACCCGCCGACCAGGCCGATACCCTTCCCCCCCGTCCGTCCCCATCGCACCTTTCAGATCAACAGCATGTGCGTTTGGTTGGCCGTTATGATGGTTTTGCCAGGTCGGGGGGATTCCTGTCGCTTCCCTCTCCCATCGGCTAATTTATCACATCGCTTAAGATAGCAGCATGCGCTTAGAAGATCCCTTCCTCGACGAGACAGTTGAGCTGTGAGGCTCTGGGCTTCTGTCATTTTTGATACATGCCACGAACAGCGATCAGGGACCAGGGCCGGCTGTTCACTTCGGGAAACCGGTGGAACTAAGTAATCATGTATTGATTGCTGCTGTGGATGATGGCTGCAATGATTGACCGACCGTCAGGTCGACCGTTTTCTGTTGTTCATTTTTTGTCTCTTTACAGTTCATTGGGGGTCTCTGCTCATCACCTTTTTCAAGTTGTTGCGTGGGACTGGAACGACGACACAGTTGCTTTGTAACCCCGGTAGACGCCATTGTTAACCATACCGGATGAAGAGAGGGAGAGAGGGTCCAAGCAACATTGACGATACTGTGACCTTCTCTTCCCAGGTTTTTCGATGCGGCCACTCAGGCTTGGCCTTGCTCGTTTCCGCTCGGATCGAGAAAATTGAGCAGAGAGTTCACCGGTGTAGGAGTGTGAGTGGATACGACCACTTCGTCTACTCTGTGACCTGTAGTACTGTACTACTTGTATGGATCTTTTTCTGCTCAGATCAAGGAGACGAAGAGAGATTGGCCTCCTTGCAACAGAGAGATTGAAGGCAGAAATATGAGGTGGAAAGCGTTCCAAGCGATAGATTGAATTTACATTAACAACAATCACCCGAACCACCACTACACTACAGCTGGGCGTTGGCAGAGGAGAGGAGTCGACGGGCAGAGCGGGCACTCGCGCGGTTTGTGCGTCTATCCCTGCGGCAAGGGCGCCTCCCCTTGTCTGAGAGGGCCCCATGTTCACCCGTCGTCCCTGTTCTGGGTCCCCCCATCCCCCTCTCTTATTGGAACTCGTTGGTACCACCAACCCATTAAATCACTACGAAGTAATAATGTGGGCTCTCTTTTTTTCCCTCTTGTCTGATGGGCGCGGCGATCCGGACATAGACTTTTCTTTACCTTGTCGTCCAGTCTTGATCTCCTTCTTGTCTCCGGCCAAAAAGCCGACCTGGCCACCTGGTTAACTTTCTGGTGATGCGGTCCCCTAGCTAAGCCTTGTCAATCAGTTCAATGGGGACGAAAGGTAACATGGGCCCTTGTGGTGTCAGCAGCCAGGGCGAGACACTCAGACAACACAGCACAGCAGCGCCGGCCCGGCTCGGCTGAGTATGGTCAGAGGAGACGGAACGCGTCCTATCGGACAGCCCAGCATCAAGCCTAGCCAACCTAATGACCAAAACGAGAGAGAGACATACAGACAGAGGCAGAGGCAGAGAAAGTGTAAAACGGTTAAGTCGGCTTTCCGTGATTGGACCAATGCCTCTCGTCTGAGGAGAGAGAGAGAAAGAGAGAGAGAGAGAGAAAAAAGAAAGGCACTTTCTGTCGACATGTCTTGAAAGCTATTGTATTGTACACTGCATGGCGAGCAGCAACTTTCAAAGTCTTGGACATTGCAGATTGGAGACGGGGCAAGGTTGTTCTATTTTTCGTACCCCTTCAACCCTCTCTCTCTCTCTCTCTCTCTCTCTCTCTCTCTCTCTCTCTCTCTCTCTCTCTCTCTCTCTCTCTCTCTCTCTAAACGGGAGACTTCTAACCCCCTTTCGGTTGGATCAAGTCTCATCACTTGTATGAAGGGGAGAGGAGCTGCAGGACGGAGTATCCGTAGTATGTCATGCCCATGATGCGTACTAGGTAATGGGGTGTGGTGTGGTGGGTGTGTTTGTCTGAGGTAGGAATCCCATCTCTATCCGTACGTACTCTCTTTCGTCCAGCAGCAGCAGCAGCAAAAACAAATCCCGTAGGCGAGAAGGAGGAGGAGCAGGGGTATCCAACATAGAGTTTTCGACTGTTGCCGTTCTTTCCAAGATTTGGTCTTGGTATACTTGGTGTTATTATTCTTGTGTCGGTTCCTCGGATTAGAACCGGAGTTGAGAGACCCCCATCCTCTCTCTCTCTCTCTCTCTCTCTCTCTCTCTCTCTCTCTCTCTCTCTCTCTCTCTCTCGGAGTCTCTTTCCTCTTTCTCCATTGCGGCATCTTATTGCGGCATTGTGATAGCCGGGGGGTGGGTGCTATAGTCCTATAGTGTTGCTGCGTGTGACGGGACTGACGACTCGAGGGAGAGTTGATGATCGGCTGTCCCTATGTTGTCACCATCCGCCTTTCTAGACGATAGAGTTCCATCCCAAACTACTCAAAGTCAACTAGCTACCCCATTTTCTGTCGAATCTCTTTTCCCATCCTCCCCCTGTCCACGTCTCTCTCCCGCGCCCGCGCGCCTCGACTGAACTCATAAAATCATCGTGTGGACATAACGTTGCAACCAAGTTCTTGGGGTAAAAGATCACGAGTCAATAGGAAACTTTCACTCTCCAATGTGTACGTGTGTTTGTGTATGTGTAAAATCTGTTCATCAAATTTTGTAGTTTGTTTCTCGCGTGGTCTGGATGGGATTTCTCCTCTCCAGCCCGCATAACTATGGTTAAACATCAAAAAATCCATAATCACATTCTTTTAATCCCCATCCCAGAATGTGTGTATCATCCCCCGTTTCCCCAAGAAAGTCTAAAACCGCCCAATGGTTTGGTACCCAAAATGATGAAAAACAAAAGGCGAAAAAATAGTAAGAAAACCTCCAAATTCCTGTAAAGCGCCTTTCCTTTCTCCAAGTCTCCCCAGCAGTTTGAACAATAACAAAAAAAGCAGTGGTAATTTGGAAGTGGTCGCAGAATTCCTCCAACCTGTTTCTGATGCACCGGTATCGCGGGTAAAAAGAAGAGAAGAAAAAAGGTCGTAAGTGAAAAGGATAGAAGCAATCCCAGCAGCCCACCGTGCTCTCCTGGCCCGCATTCGAAATGCCATAACGAAGCCAACCCGTTTTTGTTTTATCTACTACAACAGACCCCCAATCAGGCAAAGTGTGTGTGTGTGTGTGTGTGTGTGCGTGTGTTTGATGTGTTTCCCCCTTGAGAGGTCCCATCCCAGTCCAGCTAGAATGAAACTACATTCTCATAAGGAGGAAGGAGGACGTGAAAGAAAATTGGAGACTAATAGCTCCAAGTTCTGAAGTATGGACAAGTAAATTGGTGAAGAATTTGGCTCCAAGTGTCGTATCCGTCTCAGGAACCTTCGACTGCAACACAGCCACGAAGCTCGGGGTAACGGCGAACAAAGTTCTCATTGAGGCGCCAGTTTTCGAGGCGCATTGCGTGGGCAGTAAACGTGTCGCTGAGCCACATCTCTCCAGATTGCGGGTCAACCACCAAGGCGTCAATTGGACGTGCCGCCCAACTGATCAGTCTCAAGCTAGACGAGTAGACGCCTTGGAATTCTTCGTTGGCATACAGCTCCTGCCGTTCGATGATGGCAGTGCGCAGAGGTGCCCAAAGAATGAGATCGACCCACTGAGGATGCGGGATTCTTGTCTGGCACGGCTTCGGCGTGAGTTCAGGCACAATGGCTTGATATGCCTCAAGCGTTGGGTGTACCAGCCAAGCGATGGCTCGTTGAGTGATGGCGAAGACTGCCAGGCGTTCAATGACGTTGGTGACACCTGCCTTGTTGACGAGAGCGGTGATAAGCTCAGCCATGGGATGCTTGGCGCCAGGACCCGTGACTGTTGTGGAAGCGGCTCGATCAAGGTCGGCTAGCTGGCATCGTGGAGGTTCTGTCGAAGGCGAGGCCGGATGATACTCGAGGAAATTCTTCACATTGACCCTACTAGGTCGGAGGATGTTATCGAGAGACTCAAGTTGCGACAGTCGGCGGCAGTCCTGAATGAAGCCGACTATCAACTGGTCGACTCGACAAGTTGGCGGGACGATGAGGGTCGGAATCTCCCAAAGGGTGGTGCCAGGCTGGCGGATCAATGAGCTGACGGTTGTTGGTAATACACCGGAGTTGGATACGAATTCCACGACTGCTGGTGATGAAGATACGGCTGATGATGGTGGGAGATGGGAACCTGCGACTGATGACCCATTGAGTGGTGGTTGTGAGGGTATCCAGCGTCTAGAAGCTGAGTGGTTAGCGCCTCAGAATTGCGTTGCAACCCAACCACCGCACATAGGGAAGACAACCTACCAGAGTCGACATCGTCGTAATCGCTCATCTTTGCCGGAATGCTTCGGGCATCCATCATCGGCGCGGGGACGCTCGTTGGGATGTAGCCTGCGCCGTACTCGTCTGTGTTGGCGGACGATGACGGGCTTGAAACGGTCGAAGGAACGGAAACGGGAATGCCTGGGCCCCATGACTCTGACGCATCCGGCATGGGCACGTAGGAGGGACCAAGTTCTTGCATCACGTTGTAGTCACCGTTTGAAGGAAATGGCGAGGAGCGAGGACTGGGGACTGCGCCGCTGATAGAGCTCAGGTTGTCGTCGTATACTGGAGCCGAGTCAGCACGAGTCAGAGGCAACCACGCAGAAGACGAGGCAATGGAAGCAGCCGTACCTGAATTTGGGTAAGACTGCCCGTTGGGAACGCCCATGCTCTCTCTGAGCTTGAACAGTTCCTCTTCAAGCGCCTTGTTCTTGCGCAAAAGCTCCTGGACGGTGTGGCTCTGATCGCGGCCGCGCTCGCTCTTGAGCTCCTCAAGCTCTCGCTCGAGACGCTCAATGTGCTCCTTCGTTCTAGCTCTGATGGCGCGCTGAGCTTCTCTGTCATTGGCACGCTTACGCGCAAGCTGGGAGGGCGTCAAGGTTGAGACGCTTCTGGTGCCTGTTGAGGGGAGGCGTTCAAGTCAATATATTATTCGTACATGAGAACGTAGAAGGGGATGATGGTGGTAGAGTGGGAGCTAAGGAGGGAGGTGGGGGGTGATCGAGGCGAAGACGGCAGATGGGTAGAACCGCATAACCGCCGCCATCGTCGTCGACATTTCATGAGTGGTGCTGGTGATGTGTACCCTTGCGCTTGGTAGGCTTCGTAGGCTCTGCGGAAGCTGATCGTGTCATGTTGTCGGCGGCGTACTTGTCGGCGTGGTGTGCAACAACGGTAATGGTGACAGGTCTGGATCGAGTGTTGGCAACGGCAGTATGGGCCATGCTCTAAGGTAGAAGACTGAATGGAGGAAGAGAGAGACGGGTCGGTCGACGAGTTGTAGTTGTTGTTGTTCGAGTTGTCAAGGCAGGGATCAAATCAAGAGGATCGAGAGAGCGCGCATCTTGGAGTTATAAGATCTATTGACGACAAGAGCAGACACAAGAACAGGCCCTTCGAATGCCGGCGGCAAAGTAGTTTCAGGGCAGCTAGGAGCGACGAGTACCTCAGTACGAAGATACGTATCTTTCCAGCATGGGTCTAGGGGGTAGAGAAGGAGACAGGGCCAGTGACTTTTGGTAAAGGTTGAGGACAAGCAGGAGTGTGTGAGTTGATCGTGGGTGGGTGGAGGAGGCAGGGTACGTACTGTACCGTACTCCGTACCGCTACCTCGCAGCTCGAGGAAGGGCACTAGAAACTAGCAGTACATAAGGTAGGAAAGTCAAGAGCAGGGTTCGAGGGGATGCATGCATCCGGGCTAAAGCAGCCCAGTCTCGAGGGTAAGGACGTGGGACCGTACCGTAGGTAGGGGTGTAGGGTAAGAATGGAAAGGATGGCAGCAGAGAGATCACGCCGCGCAGAAAGTATTCAAGGAGCCGTAGGTACAACGGGCCCCGAGTGCTTCTAGGACAGAGAAGGGTCAAGAGTATCGGTGAAGAGACGTAACTTGGCACATGACAGTCGATGTTGGGCACAGACATGGCGCAAATTACTAACTCACTTGAGAACAACTTACAGATCTTTCAAGGATGGGCTGGGGATGGAGGGGAGCGGCAGGGGTCTGATCAGAAGAGAGGGACAAGACAGCGGCAGGGAACATGGGAGAAGACGAAGAAGAGGACGAAAAGAAGCGGACGAGGCAAGGCAGCGAGCAAGACGGGACCGGGGATGTGGGAGGGTACACAGATTCCCTCGACCACAGCAATGTAGACGTGTACCTTTTGGCGGCCAGTTACCCATCGGCCTCGACGGGGCCGGTGGGCGTGAAGAAGGAGGGGTGTGGAGGCTAGAGGGGGTGGATGAGGGCCGAGTGGGGGGGGGGGTTATGAAACCAGGGGGGGGCGTGGGGGACGTCCTTGTGTGAGGTGAATCTAGGAGAACAACAGAAGAGAGAGATGCCTCTTTACATTAGGTAATGTGATGAATGGGCCACCACATTCGCATGCCCGGTTTACGGTGCTTTTTGCTGTGTGTGCCTCATAGATAGTCGGAAACTACGTGTTTTGAACGCCGAGGCAACAAGCTTCTTCGAGTTATTTCGAGGTGTAATTAAGTCACCGCGGAAATCGAGCGAGGAATTGCTGCGAGCCAGATTCCGCCGCTTTGCTAGTATCCAAGCTGTGGGCAGTATTCTTCCCCCAAACCAAAAGAACTTCGTTCGGCTAGGTCTTGGGTTTGTCTTTCCTCTGGTCCTCGTTGCATCGTCTGGAGAGCGAGAAGATGGAGCAGGGTGACGGGAAGGAAGTGCTCTCTCTCACCTTACGGATACTATATCTGCAGGGGGAGATCCTCAAGCAGTAGCAGTCGATGTGGGTGGGTAACCTCCTGCCCCGTGATTGTGGCCTTGTGCTGGCTCGAGTCCGACTTTCGATCTCAGCGAACGGGTTCCCGGTGGGGTTGCTTATCCGTACCGCAGGTAGGGAAAGGTAAACGGGGCCAAGGTAAGGCAAGCATAGAGTTGGGAAAAGGTTAGCTGCTGGGCTGGATGAGGTGACGAAAGGGCAGGCCGGCAAGGCAAGGCAAAGCCAAGGTTACGGGAAAGGAAAAGGTACCCAGGTGCCTTGTCGGATTCGTTGAAGATGACAACCAAATCAAACTCCGACTCCTCCTCCCGCACTTGACCTTGTATGGTCTTGCGGCTTGCCCTGCCATGCCCATAAACGCTGCTATACCCTCCCATGGGATGGACCATGGGCCCTGTCCTGTCCGCCTTATCCATAAATGCGTACGGAGTATGAAGTGGGCACGTTGAAGAAGACGAGATAATCCCGTCTGGGATTACATATTGCGTTGACCTGACGGCTCGGAACGGGGGGGGCTTGCAAGGCGGGTGACGAGGCCTGTTGAATACCAGCATCTACGACGACGAAGAACTTTGAAGAGCAACAGTCCCGTCCGGCTGATGCTCGGAATAGCCACACTCATGGCATGTCCATGGCCTGTGTGTCGGCCGGCCCATGGAGCGCCCAGACCAAGAAAGGTGAGGTAATCTCCAATGCCCATCTCGTTCAAATCCGTATTGTGTATTTTGTAGAACGAGGGGCGGAAAAAGACATGTCCAGATCCTGGAGGGCTGGATTTGGGGTGGTGCGTGTTTGGTTTGACCTGGGTTGACCTCAATCCCAACCCCGACCACCACCATCCGCGCGCAATGTCGTCCCATTCGACGAAAGGCTTAGGTTGAAGGAGAAGCCAGGCGATTGCCAGGCCAGGCTGAGCCAGTAGGGCCAGACCCATACGCCTCAACTCTGCTCGAGGCTCAGCACTGCTGCACCGCTGCATTTGCTAACGCATGCCCAGCAGCCCAGGAAACCTTCGGCCAGCCTCCGATGACCGGGGGGGTTGCGATACAATGACGAAATGATGTCTTCTTTCCCTCTCTTGCCGCGCCGCCAGGTCTTGTCATCTTTTTGGAGTAGGTATGGGTTATCAACCTACAGATAGAAAGCAGTTAAAGGCGAATCCGATCCGTACGGGTAAAGAGTACAGTACTTCTGTATCTGTACTTCGGACCCGGAAATCACCATTAGGCAGCAGAGCGCAGACGTGCGGCCGTGGGCGGGAAGTGCGCGCTCAGGGATGGTTTAGCAAAACACAATCGCATACACTGCCCATTTGTGATGTGAGGGTGTGAGTGGTCGATGAAGTACGAAGGAAGTGTGTGTATCCCAAGAGGGAATGAGAATGGACTCGGTCTCTGGGTGTCGAATTGATTGTGGGCACACACACGCCATTGGTACACACACGAACATTCGTATACCTACTCCTACACTCACACTCACTCATAACAGATACAGAAACACGCGGGCGCGCAATAGATGAGGAGAGGCATGTCGAGTTCCATTATGAGTTAACCGGGAAGTGAGTGAGGATCGAAGGTGAAGTGTGAGGTGAATGTGTGAGGACCAGGGCCCGCCGCCCGTGAGGTCAGTTGGGGCCCAGAGGTAAACTGTGGGAAAAGGTGGAGATCCCTTACAATAGAGGGGGGCACGAAGGGGTACGTATCCACATGCGAGAAATAAACTTTACGCTAAAGCCAGATCTGTCGTAGCTTGGTGGGCGCCGATACGCGGCCCAGCAGCGACCGCAACAGCCAGTAAGAAGGTCAGCAGCGAGGGAGAGAGACAGCGGAAAAAGTGGTCTGCTACTGCCTTCACCCTCGACCTTGAAGCCCTCCTCCTCCTCCTCCTCCTCCTCCTCCTCCTCTTCTTCCTCAGCGAGGGGACTGCGACCAGCCAGTCTGCTGCTGGCAGCTGCTGTCCTCTCGCACTCATTGGATTGGAATTCCTGTCCCCCCCGTCGGCGTGTCGGTACGTACCCGACTACCGTGAACCATCTCTGCTATTGCTAGCACCATGCAAGTGCACGGAAACCTGCTCCCACTTCGCTGCTCCGGCGGTGGCCAGCCCGACCGATACCTTGTCCCCATCCACCACATCCAACCGTAACACGCTTGTCCCTTTTTAGAGGGGGTCTTCTGCCATGGGCGGCCGGGCATGGCTCGTCGTCGGCCGACTTTGGGGGGGATTGGGGGGGCGGCTGCGTGGTGTGCGGGCAGTGAGATTGTGTATCCGTAGCCTGTAGGCACCTTAGAGGCTCAGACCGTAAGTACGAGAAGAACCGAGAAACTCTGGCTAGCCATCTCTGTATTTTCGCATTCGAAGCGACGAGCAGCAATAACCAACTTGGGCAGTCGCAAAAAATTTGGCACCATGCGGACAAGAAGCTCCAGAGTAAAAAAGATCCTCCGCCGTCGGGCCTTCTCACTCAAAGAGCGCAATAGAAAGTGGTGTCATAGAACGTCGAGGGTCTCCTACCTAGTATCCGTAGTAGAAACCGTTTGCCAAATGGAGTATTCCGGTGCGGAAACCCTACCCAATATCACCTAGTCCACCTCCACTGGCACAACATCCTCCGATCAAGAGAGAGAGAGAGAGAGAGAGAGAGGTCGGAGCCACTGGCGTATCGACCACTAGTGTGTTGCGTCGTCCCTTTGGAAAAAAAGAGTCTTGGATCTACCCATCTTCTGAGGCCTTCTAGCACCTCCATTGCATAGTCAGGAGAATAAAACGAGAAATGCAACCTGACGGCGGCGGCGGCGGTTTCGAATGGCGTGTTCGGGCCTAACGAACAAGAGAGACCTTCTAGCCTGCCGACCAGAAACATTGAATACCAGCCGCCCTGTGCCATCAGTGCCGGAGCCATTGCCAGGAACTTATCGGCTCACCCGCTTCACGTTCGTCGGTCTTGTCTGGCGACAGACATTCTAGCTTTCGGTGAGCCACGCCGCGATGACAATTCATCCAACGGCCAAGACGGTCTTTGCAGCTAGCACGTCCGGCGATCGGATCCAAACTGCACCTGGCCTAGATTTCACGATGGCTCGCCAGCCTCGTCACCCAAAGTGCCCCAAGGGCCTCGATTTGAACCCCTATCGGCTCCGTTGAACACATGTTCAGGTGCCCACTCCCGAACGGCATCCTCGGATTCCGTCGTGGGTAGGCCACGCGAAATTGAGGTATTCTTGTCTTTTCACCGCTTTCGAATTGGCTGGCTTGGAATTAAAATTGGGCTGGAGAGCCGCGCGCGCGCGCGCACACACCATACACGATACACCTCCATGTTGCGACTGAATGGCGGCGTCCATCATGGTCGTTCCAATCATCGGACCTGGTTCCGGTTGCCCAATCCCACAGGATGCCGCTACTGAACTGCCGTTGTCAATCTTTTTCCCCGATTGCTTTTTTTTTCCGCCTTTCGGAATGCAGGCTCATGACGGCTGATGCGTACGGCACCCCTGGTCAATCTTGTCTGCAACTCGCAGTCTCTTGCCATTGAACGTTAGTAGATGTGAGCCCAGCAACAGCATAGCACGGCCGGCCGAGGGGGAAAAAACCAGAGATTTGGGGCGTTGTCTTCTCCCTGCTCTGCTGCCGAGTCTTATGTCGGCATCCTGTCTCACTTTTTTCAGCTTCGCGGCACGCCCTTCTGACCGAGCCAACTTTGATTCAGCGCGGTCGGCGTCTTATTCGCAGAAACATTCGCTCTCGCGGTGCGGCGTGTTGGCCTCCGCCAGATAGGTACGGTATGCACAATCGACCGAATGCCTGTCCTTGGCTGCCTGGCCAGCGAACCCGAGATCGCCGCTGTCAACGCGACCTGAGCCGAATTTCGCACGTGTCTGCTTGCGTGTATGTGTGTGTGTGTGTGTCTATGTTGCCTCTCGTCCATTGTTTCTTCATTGCTTTTTGCTGGTCTTTTCTTTTTCCGAGGTGTGCCTCTTGCTCCGGGGTGTAGGATAACTCTCGGGTTGCGGTGTGAGAACTTGAGAAAAGCGCACAGGTACTGAAGGGCAATGCGCCGGCATTCTCTCTGACATGCGTGGCGGGCTTCTCGAAGGTCCATGGAACTCTTCTGTCTGGGTTCTGCATTGCATCGGGCGTTCGCATTTTTAGCCTCTCGTCGTCCCAGCCCAGGGTCATGTCCGAGGACACTACCACCGCGGTGACTCTGGCGCATCGCATCGAAGAGGCGAGAAGGAAAAACGAAGCATGTTCTGTCGCCGAGCTGGATTGCGATTCACAGGGTTTCCAAGCTGGCGGGATTGTGGCGTTTCGGGGGAGGCTCCCTCCCCCCTTTCGAGAATGGGAAGTGTGCTGATGTGTCTGAGGTTGATCTGTTGGTTTTCATCTCCCCGCGCCCAAAAAGTCTCACTCTACCTACTGGTTCCGTGATTAGTACTTTGTAGATGTTTCCAGCTGTCAATTAGTTCTTGTGTTCCCCCAATCGCGGGGAAAATGTCCCGTCTGGCTCTGGGTGGCCCTCCCTCGATGTTCCTTCTTCTCCCTGAGGTGGCATGCCGCATTTGCGTCTCATTCTTCCCCAGCCTGATCGCTCGGCATCGTGAATTCCAGCAGTCTAGTCGTACAAGGCGTCTCGTGCCGGCCTCCCGAAGCTGCACGCATATTGTTCATGGGTTTGTAGTCGCTTGTGAGTTATGTCATAGGCGTTCGAATGTGGTTGACGAGGGGTTTCGGACACGGCGAAAGGCGTCGAGAAGGTCAACAAAGCAAAGAGGGCATCCGGAATCAGTGATTTTATGAGTTATTTCGGGGTGGGCTTAGCAATGCCGGTCCGGGGGGTGATGAACCCCTGATGAATGCCGTCTTGTCGGCGCAATATCCAGTTCGGATCTCTGTTTTGTCAATTCTGACTCAGAAAGCCGGCCGTTGTATGTTTCGTTTCCTCTGTTAATTCCTTCGGGAGGATACCTGCCAGACCAATGAGGCCGGAATCCCCAGAAGAAAAAACAGGGCCTGCAACAGACCCTGCTTGCAAGACCCGGCGCTGTGCCTGGCATGCGCCGGGCACCCTCATCCTCGAAAGCCTCGAGGCTCCAGCTGGTTAGGGTGTTAGGGTGTTAGGGCAGGGCGGGCCAGCTGAGAGGAATGGGGGGGGAGGAGTGAAAGTGAGGGGGGGGAGGGGAGCGGTCTGGCGGTGGGTGGGAAAGGGCGGAAACCTCTCCGGATTCTGAGAACGAGGTACCGGAGCTGCTGAGGTACCGCGACGAGGTTCAGTACCCTCCAGCGCCTCCTTGAGCCAAATCCAGGTGATACATGCGCTAACAGCCCAATGACGACCGCTTTTCTCTTACGAGCCGACCAATCACTGGCTCAACCGGTGCTTTGCGGATCTCGCTCCGTAGTGTACTCCGTACTTCAGTACCTACAAGTGCCAGGGCCAGTGACTTGGCATTTCCGGGCTTATGGTCTGAGTGTGGTGTCGGCAGCGGAAGAGACATTGAGACTCCAGAGACCCTGGACAAGTGCAAATCCTTCAGACTGGGACTGCCAGCGGTCATTCCGTCACTGACGGAAATTCCGTACAGAAATTCCGTATAACGACCAGCAATGGACATGATGTACATCATCGCGCATCTGGAACCTTGTATGTCTCTGACGAAAGAAAAATGATATTGGGCCATGTTTGGCGCTGCCCCTGTACAATGCAGCAGGAGTGCAGGCAGGCTCAAGCAGAGCTTTCTATTCGTATCTGTATCTGTTGTTGCGAAAAAAGTCTGGTCGTAAATGCCTCAACCCGGGGTATCAAATCGTCCCAAATCCAACAGAGAACTGGATCAGTGGAGTCAGTCAATCGGTCCGTCCGGGACCGTGGTGAAGTACGTAGTAGGTATGCTGGTATGTTTGCTTTCGCCGTACATATTCTCAGGCGGCACTTTCAGGGACTGCTTCTACCGCTGGGTCTGCGTCTGGTACTGCCCCCACCAACTCCTCCAGTCCCCCGACCTCCGTTGGTCCGTTAATGCCGTCCGGAGGAAGGGCCCACGCGGGCATCGGACTGGTGTAGCTCCAAGCCCCTCCAGCATCTTCGTATCGGAGGCTGTGAAGCCAGAGCGAAAGTTCGTGCTCGCCGGGGTCCGTGTAGAGCGGCGTATCGCAGACCTTGCAAAGCTCTCCTGATAGCTTTTCGGCCCTCCTCTTCTGGTACAGGTCCACCAATTCGTCGTGATAGGCCACAGCATCGGCGATATCTTGTTTGCCCATCCTTTCCAGGCGCGACATGATATCTTCGTCCGTGTTCTCAACTGCTTCCGAGTCGTTGCATCCCAAGTTAATACCCCAAACTCGCTGGTTCGCATACAAGGGGTCATTTTCAATGGGATGTCCAACAAATTGTAGATGCACGCGAATCTGATGCGTCCTGCCCGTCAAAGGCAGGCAGCGAACGATTGAGTAGCCCTCTTTCTTGATCCAAGGCCGGCGTTCCTCGTCCGCAAGTCGTTCCGCACTCTTGGGCTGTGCTGCCTCCGAGTCATTCAGAGTGTCCGGCGGGTAGTAGGCCAGACGTTTGAAGACGGTACGGGCCGACTTTCCGTTGGCGCGCACGCGGTTGAGGCCTAGTCGTGGGGATATTTGGAGGATAGGTTGATCGCAGACAATCTCGCCATCTGGAAACTTGCCAGCAACGCGCGCCAAATATTCTTTGCGGACCGTGTGAGCTCTGATTTGAGCAGTGAGCTTCACTGCAGCCGGTGGTGTCTTGGCAACGAAAAGTATTCCACTGGTAAGGCGGTCCAGGCGATGACATGGATAAGGTAGGAAATGCTCGCCTCGCTCAGACTTCATGATCTCGATAAGTGTGTTGTACTTGTATCTGCCAGCAGGATGTACCGGTACACCTGATGGCTTATTGACAACGATCATTTCATCATCTTCGTGAATAACACGAATTGGTTCGCCCGTAACAGGTGGCTCATGACGATGAATTGTGTGATTCACAAGGTCGCCATTCTTGACCAGATGATCCGGGCCGACTGCCTTTCCGTTGACAACAATGGCTCCGGTTTCCATGGCATAACGGTAGTACTCTAGGGTGCGGTCCCTGAATTCGTCCTCAAAAATATCGATTAGCTTCCGGCCGCGCCAGCGTTGCTTGGCCCAGGTGTGGTAGGTGAAGTGATAAGGAGCAACTCTGCGGAGACCATCCTCGAAGAAGTACGGCCTTGGCCACATGTCGCCTGTAGGTGTCGTCAAGACTTCAGGCAGCTCATTGGAAGCTTCAGACGGTTGGGCATCCGGTAGCTTGGCTGGTTCAGCAGCGGGAGCTGCAGCCGACGTTGGTGCCGTTTGATCAGAAGCCATGGCAGGCATAAAAGATTCCCGTCGGAATGGCAGCCTTGCCAAGGACCAAACTGAACGCAGGAGGGTAGCCAGGATTGATCGGGTAGGTAAGTTGAGAGGCGGGGTGTGCGATGATGTAAGTAGCAAGTGGCGTCTTGTGGAACTTTGCGAAACTTTGACTAGCCGTAAGTAAGTAGTGCTTGAGAAGTTGCTTGCTGCTTGCCTCGAGGAGCCCAGATATCAACTACCAACAAACTTTGCATGTATGGTGAAATGTATCTCGAAAAGAGTCACAAAATCTTGGCGGTCAGGCGTGGCAGAACTTTGCTGAAGTTGAATTTTTGGTGGACAGGTTCGGGAAAGGTGGACCGGCAGAAGCGTGATTGGCCAGTGGATCTAGCCCTTCGATTACATAAGTTGCAAGACTCCACCTTTTTCCGGCAAAGGTGCCCTTACCTTAATCAGCACCCCTGGCCTTTAGGAGGCAGGTATTCCGGCTCTGGACCAAATAGGTCTGCCGACATTGGTGATTGGCTCCTTTTGCTTTTGGCGGCAACATGCCATTCTACCTCGGCTCAGCTAGGAGATCTACTCAGCTGCAAATAGACTGCGGTAATCTAGAGTCTCAACAATTTCTCCGCAACACTTAGCGGAAAGCTACGAGAGCTTCTTCATCGAAAGGTTTAAAGTAACCAGCTGAACCACAACTCAATCGAGAAAAGTGCCGATAAGGCAACACGCGTTTACCCAGTGACGTCTGACTGAGCATCCCTCTCCTGTGTCTCTGAACCAATACAACCCGGCCAAGGACCAGTACCTTCGGCATCCCCGCCTACGACGTGCTCCAAATATCCGATCTTCCTCTATCCTCTCGCAAGAGCACCGCCATGGCTAGCAACAGGCAGTTAAAGCAGCGTCGAAGGGAGGACTACGGCTATATCTTAGACTACCGGACACGATGGTGAGTTTACCTCGATCCCGTCACCATTGTCACAGGCTGTCATTGCGGCTTCCGCTTCTACCTACTCCTCGGTGCCTCTCGTCCTTCCTCCCTTACTATCGACCTCGAAACGGAAGGACCGAGCTCATTCCTCGCAAAGCTTCAAGGGGGCCTTGTCCGTGCTGCAAGCGGACGCCCTCCTATCCTTTCCTTCGTCAACCTCTCACGCCCATGGTTGAGAGACGAGGACGCCTTCGCAGCGTATCAGTAGCCGTCATCTCCTCATCATTCTCATCACCTCATATTTCGCTCTCATTCGTTTGCGCTTTTGCTGCTTGGGCAGAAATTGACAAGGTTTCTTAAGGGCCGATAATGATATGTACCAGCACATGAACAATAGCATCTACAATTTCCTGTATGTTTCTCTCGATCCAGCTAATGTCCGCGCGGCGCCCAGCTAAAGACTGCAGATACGACTCCGTAGTCAACGCCTACCTGATCGAGCACTGCGGCCTATCTCCCTTGGGTTCTGATCAGTACGGCCTTGTGGTACACTCGCATAGCGACTACTTTGCTTCGATTGCGTACCCCGCAGTCGCTCAATTAGCGCTACGAGTGAACAAGTTGGGGAAGTCAAGCGTCACATACGAAATTGCCTTGTTTGAAAAGGGAGTGGACGAGGTGAGAGCAGTCGGGGAGTTTACCCACGTCTTTGTCGAGAGATCTACCGGTCGTCCAACCGCATCCGGAATGCAGGACGGAATGCGGAGGGGTCTACGGCGACTTCTGGTGGTGGATGGCAGAGAAAATAAGCTCTAAATTGAACTCTATCACCCACCCACTTGTGCCATGGAGCTTATCTCCGAACAAATTCCTTTACAAGTTTACAGCTGCAAATCCAGCTTTTGGATTGCGCCATCCTGTTCACCACTCGTGAAGATCTTCTCTAGGAACTCCAAGTCCGCCAGCGCCTCCTCAGGTGATTGCAGCGGGCCGGGTGCTCCGGCGGCCAAACCTTCGGCCCAGGCCTTGACCTCCTCCTTTACACCACTCGTCTGTTCAAAGTGAGTTGTTGTTGCCTCGCCGTCAAAGGGTTTGACGGTGAGGTCATGACTCGACAAGGTCACACTGCCGTTCTCGCCCGCCACGTGGAAGTCGAAGGCACTCAGGGTTGAGCCAACACTGACGGCGAAGGAACCAGTGGCGCCCTGCTTGGTCTTGACGATGGCATTGATGGTGTCAATGGGCGGTAGGTGCTCCCGGGTCAAGTCCGAGAAGGCGGCAACCGAGGCCGGCGCCGCGTCCTTGCCGAGCAGCAGGCGAAGGGCGGCGGCGAAGTGGACGCCACCGTCGAGGAGGAACCCACCCTGGTAGTCGGGCTTCTTGCGCCACGCGGTCTCAATGTACTTGCCGCCCAGCTTGACGAAGAAGAAGACCCTCACGTTGAAGCCGATGACTTTGCCTAGCTTCCGCACCTCGTCTCTTGCCGTAGTGTAGCGGGGTTGGAAACGGTAGTTCTCGGCCACGGCGAAGGTCACGCCCTTTTCGGCGGACACCTTTTTGTAATACTCGATCAGCTCCTGCGCACGAGCAATGTCGGCGGCGATAGGCTTCTCGGCTAAGACGTGCTTTCCGGCAGCAAGGGCCTGCTTAATGTAGTCGGGCTGGTTCAGGATGGGCAGGGCCAAGATGAGAGCCTGGATGTCATCACGGGCCAAGAGATCCTTGAAGGACTTGCCCTCGCCCGCGTCGTCAGAGTACAAGTCAGGTGAGGCTGACTTGGTGACGAGCTTGGCCGTGTCCTGGGCGGACTTGAGAGAGCGAGAGAAGATGGCCTTGAGGCTGAGGTTGTCGCTTGCTTCCACAGCAGGCTGTTTAGACAGTCAGTGACCAAGAGAGACGCGGCTTCCGCGGATGGGCGATATCGGCTAGGTGGTTTGCCTTACCAAATGCTCTTCCTTGGCAAAGATACCTCCTCCAACAATAGCTACTCCGATGGGGGCCATGGTTTCTCAGATATATCGTTCGAGATTGGATTACAGCCGTGCGGTTAACCTGAGTCAAGCAGTCGTCAAGGCAGAATGTGTAAATAGATTGGTACTGGACGAACTTCTGGTCTGAGATGAAAAGAAGAGATTGAGAGGGGTGAAGGATCTCAATGATTTATTTTTTCAGACACGGTTGACTATCTTTCAAAGAATTCCTTATTTGTCCATAAAGGCGCGTTGTGCAGTAGCCAGGCACGCAAGCAATGCCATCACCGGCCGTCTCCTCCAATGCTTGGGGAGCTTCGTGATGGTAGTGGGGTTTTGTTGGCGGGGTTGGAGAGACCTATGGCACAACCGTCTCGCAGGAAATTGATGGGTGATATTGTACTAACTCAGAGTCGTGCTGTATGAGGCTAGATATGTTAGCATATCAACGTGAACACCCCGCTCTGGAGCTAGCGCCCTTACTCTTTTGGGAAAGTATAGCAGTTGGGTAGTTGGGGACCTGGGTTCCTACCTGATGGCTGATGCAGAACACCGGAAGGTACAGACGGGAGTAATATTGACGAGGTTCGGCTCGGGTCACAGGCGAGTGTATTGTAAGGCAAGTAGGTGCTCAGTACAGATGAGGCTGCAGCTTCCACGTTTTCAAGTGTCGTGTGCTATGGTTGTATTTCTCGAGGAAAGAATCAGCTGGCTGCTAAAACTCGAATAATTGCTCATGATCATGAGTATTCTACCTCATCCAAGTTCCTCAATGGCTACGGATATTTGCCCATATAACTTGGTTTCCTGATTTACTTCCTTGCTGCTACATTCAGCAACTACAACGCCGAATTCCAGATACTTTCTTACTGGTCTTGCTATACCGTACCGGAGGCCGTGCTCTCAGATTCAACCTCGTCGTCGCTGCTACTGTCGTCCAGTCTATCGATCGCTCGTTGACACTCCTTCTCCCACTTACTAAACCCAACAATCACCCATTCCAACGCCCCAACCAGATACAAGGCGACACATTGTCCGATCCACAGGCCGGCGAGACCCCAGCCGTGAAAGGCGAGGTAGATGCCGGCGGGGAGAGCTCCACCGTAGTAGCTGACGAGGTTCACCGCAGCTCCGACCCACTGACGGCCCATGCCTCGAAGGGCACCGCCACACGATCCGTTGAGGCCGTCTGCTATCTGGAAGAGTGCGACGTACGGCATCACTTCACCCACGAGCTTCACTACTCGCTCATCGTCGTTGAAGATTTTGCCAAACACATCTTTCGTCGCCATGAGCACAATAAGAACAACGCTCCCGAGTATCACGGACAGAATTGCTGCCGAGTGTGCTGCTATCGCCGCGTCTCGAGGCCGCTGCGCTCCCAGCAGATTTCCTAGTCTTGCCGACGCTGCTACCCCAAGACCGAACGGAATAGTGTTGATGATCTGGTCCGCCGTCATGATGACAGACTGAGCCGCCAACGGGATAGTGCCAAGTCTCCCGGCTGCCAAGGCCACGATCTCGAAAGCCCACCATTCAGTGCCAACATGGACGACTCCAAGAAGTGCGAGCTTGGAAAAGGGTCCGATGTTTCTGATGGCCTTCCGGAGCTCCAAACCGCCCCAGCATTCCTTGCCGCGGATGAAGATGGCATAGGCCACGAGAAGGAGAAACGATACCCAGTACGAAATACCCGTCGCCAAAGGAGCACCATACAAGCCGAGGCCGAGAGTATGGATGAACAAATAGTTGAGCCCGGCGTTCATCGGGGATGTAATCAACAGCACATAAGTGCCTGGACGGTAGATCGCTGTCACAGCCACGTCAGTGCCGGCATCTATTTCTCCCACTCTTTGACTTTCTCGAGGTGGCAGGTGGCACTGAGGACCCTTGACTTACCTTGCGCCTGCAAATACTTCTTCATGGCCTCAAACCACACGTACCCCAACCCGCCCGGGATCAGGCATCGCAAAAAGGCCGAGCTTTGCACGCAGATGAACTCTTCTTGGCCCAGCGCCCGGAACACCGGTTCGGAGAACCACCAGAGCACTGCCACCACCGCATAAAATGCCGACAAAACAAGGATCCCTCTCTGCAACAGAATGCCCAGGTCGTGCTTGTTCGAAGATGCTGTGAAGCTACTCGACGCAAGAGTGTCGAGCGCGGTCGTACCACCCAGGGCAATGAGCCACGCTGTCGCCATGGCGAACATGTAGCTGAAGGCAGCGGTGGCGAGTGCTTCCGGGCTAAGTCTGCCAACAATAAGAACGCTGATGGTTTGCAGGCTATTCTGCAGCGTATACGCCAAGATAACCGGGACAGCGGCTTTGGCCAGGAGCAGGATCTCGGCCAGCCATTGCCGGACTGCGTAGGGCTCTTCCGACTTGGCCGCCGGGGGTTTCGGTAGCAACGCCGTGGTCTCGGACCGGGACGACATGGAGGGCGGGCCCAGTGTGTCGGCCGACGACGTGTCCGACATGGTGGTTTTTACTCGGATTGCGACCGCTCTCTTTCAAGCTCGTTCTCACTCCGGATGCGGTGGTTGTGGGAAATCCGACCGATGGTTGAATCCGTTTTCCGGAAGTCGATACCTTAGGGTAAACTGCAAGCGCGAGTCAAGGGACGAAGCAGATGAGACAATCCGAGGCTAGTTGTGCACCCAAGCACCGACGTGTTTGCTGGCGAATCTCCAAAGACTTAAGGGAGGGAGCGAAGGTTCAGACGATCAGATGTCAAAAAAAAAACCCGAGGACAGCGGGAAACGGCTCAGCATTGTATACGGCATTTTTCAAAACTCCATCTCGCGACCCCTCCCCATCCCATGCTGGTCTCGAAAGTTCAGACACAAGATAGCTGACAAGAGGTATTTGCCACGCGCAATTGGACCAAGTTTGCAACTCCATGACGGTCAATTGACTTTGGACACCTCTCGCGAGGCATGCCTGGTTCTCATCGCGCGGGGAGAACCCCTCAATCGACGAGCCAAGATTGGACAGCGATTAGTCTGCATTTCGGCCGACATGAATTTCTTTTCACGCTTGCGAGGGTCTACGTGGGCGAGGAGGACGTTAGACAGCGGACCGTTGACTCTGAGTGGCTGCATCAATCATCGCACGGCAACTGTCCCATCCGAACTGACGCAATGGATGAGGTCGGATTTCTCGAAGAAGCAAGCGGCTGACATTGTGCGCAGTTGCTGCGACTCTGCCCTACTTATTCTCTGGAAATGCGGCGGCCACCTTGATGAGATACCAAGAGATTCGGTGGCCCAATCTGCCGGAAATGCAAATCGTGCATACCGCATTCTTCAGCGCGCTAAGCCAAGAAGAGGAGCCGATGCTCAACCATTGCAGATTCTCTTATCTCGCATCATATCCGTGGACCGAGGACAGCGAAGCTTACCTAAGGAACGATGGCCTGCGGCACAGGCAGCGGCAGAGGCGGGCAAGGTGGGCAGAGGCTTCGGTGAAGAGGCAGCAGGAAACGGCCGACACCGGTATCGGGTCCAGCTTTGCTGGCCGAGTGGGGGACTCTGTGGAGCAGCTGCCTGATACCTTACAAAAAAGGGCTGAGGGGAAAACCTTAGAGGGGGGGCGTTGTCTTATCGGCCAGTCGCATTGCTTCCAATCTGCGAGTACAGGATATCATCGCTTCACACCAGCACCGACTGGTTCACCAGGTACTCTGCGTTGCTGGAGGACTTGTCAAGGTCAGAGCGCGCAAGTACCCATCTGACTTTACGCCCATCTCAAGATCTTCGCTGCAGCAAAAGGCCGGCGGCCGACCTCATGACCGACGGGACTGTGGACATGAGAGGAAGAAAAGGGAAAAACAAGTCTTGAACTTGCATTGGCGCAATACCAGAGTGGGCAAAGAACGAATGGAGCAGCTCCAGAAGACACTCTAGAAGAACCTTGGTCCAAAAGAGGGGAAAATCGAGACCATCTTCAGAGCATCAGAGCGTAATGGTCAGGTCAACCGCCAGGCGAGTTCGACAGACTTGGACAGAGGCATGAGAGCACGAGGGTCCATGGTCAAGGGTTGATGGGCGCCACCATCTTGAACTAACATTCTCGCACAGAGTATCAACGACGATCAAGCTTTAGACACGGAAACTTCTCGAAAACAGCCGGAATAGTCTTAGGCACTGGAACAACAGAAGCTATCCAACCTGCTAGCATAGGTGTAACAACGGTTGCGGCCAATGGACGGCACGCGCACGACCAACGGGACACGATGCCATGTGCTTTCCATGAGTCGAACTGGCCAGGAACAACGGCTTAATCTCATGCGACACGAGGCGACTTGAGTTGACTTCAACTTTAGTTTTGAGCCAACCTGATTTGATCTCGTCACTACTGCATTGATTGAGTCGAGCAAACGGCGAATGCGGCAACGGGTTCAGGTTTAGTGATGGACAGTACTTCGTAAGGATACTTCGTAGGGGATACCTGCGAATACCTTACTTGGTGCAAGGTTGAGTCCTCTTTTCACAGAACGCATAACGGCGTCATACAGATCTCATGGTTACGGGTGAGAACCAACGCATTCTGCAAGGCCAAAGTAAAAGTCTAAATAGACGAACCCCGTCCCCTGCCCGGTCAGCGCCCGCGGAGCCCGTCAGGTCAGCCCGCCCGCCCACTGAGCGACATTGAAGGGTGCCATCTTCTCATCGCATCTTGATGGCAATCACACAGGGAAGATTCCCTGCCACCGCGGTGGCCGCAAGGTACGGAGTACAGATCAAAATTCAGCACACACAAGAAAAACGGAGTCTGATCTGACACAGGACGTGGCAGCCTTCTGCGTGTACTTCGATCCATTCTTTCATTGGGAAAGGAATTCGTTCGAAACACGCCGTGGAACGTGGCTCTAAACTCTAAACCTTTCGTCGGGGAACCCTTTCGCCCGCCCGCCCGCCTTTCCTCCGTCCGGGACTGGGCTTCGAACACAAGTGAACACCGCCTGTTCCTATTCGACCAACATTGGACATTGCAAGGTACCGGATGCAATGTCTATACCTTTGGTCGTCAGTGTACGGATACATTGCGACAACTGCTCTCCTCTTTCCTGTGTCTCTTCCGCACCACCCTGATGAGCGAACATTGTACAATCACCCCTACGTACCATATCCGTGGGGAAGTCATTTTCCTTCAACTTTGCTCTTCCTTGCTCGTGGGACATCGCATTGCATACACCACCTCACGCAGTACAACTACACGGCACGATTGCTTCCAGAGTTCCACACCACTTTTTTTTCTTCTCGCTCTCTCTCTCTCACTCTCTCTCTGCCTTTGTATCTTTTGTATTCACCCTTCTCTGGTCCTACGATCTGCATAGTACATCCATCCCATCGTACACCCTCTTACTCTTTTCCTTTTTCCATTGCGGAAGCTCTCATATTATGCGTCAAATCGAACTCAGGCTTTCCTGGCAGGGAATCATTTAAGCGGACGTGTTCGGGATCGACGCCGCCAATGCCTCTAGGCTGTCTTCTGCGGATATCTCCTTGAACTCTTTTCTTGGGCTTCAAAGAGTTTTGACGTCACCTCCGGACGACAGAAGAGGAAACAGAACTGCGGGTGCGGAAATTCCGCTAGAACGGTTACACTACAAAGTCCAACCGTTGAAAGGACCCAGCCCAGCCAGCCGCTGCCCCGGCACAAAGTGCGGATGCTACGTACGGACGGGCTCGGGAGTGCTTGAGGTCCACTTGCCAACCACCGTCTCGAATCCGCCAGGCTCTCTATACGGAGTACCTGTGCGTGTCTCACTTCCGCATACGGGGTTTGTGATATCCGTGGTTGAGCTGGAGTATGCCATTCCATTCTTCCGTTCTACTGTTTGTCGGTCAGCCAGAACCGGCCCTTTGCATTACCGATACCACTCAGGGCGCAGGCAGACCGACCTCGCTTCCACAAATTGCGTACGAGCGTATCGTTCGTTTCCCGGGGAAGCGGTCGAACGGGAAATAGGGCGTCCAAATGGTTTAGGGTTCTTCAGTGCAGCTTCTAGCACGTCCACGTGGCTTCCGGCAGAGTGAACGGACAACCGCCCGGCATCGCACTTCTCTGCGACTTATCTCTTTCAGCATGGTCGCCCGTTTCACGGGGGCCTCGAACGCTGCCCATCCCGGCCGTGACGAGTTACGTGTTGCCGTCAAAAACGTGGGCAGCGTTGTATCGTCCATAAAAGTGTCAGGAGAGGAATCGTCTACTGGGCGCCCGCTGCTGAGACGGTTCCGCAAACTGGAACATAACACACACCCTACTATGGGGGAGGGGAAAGGGGACAAAAGGGACGAGGGGAGCAGCAGCAAGAGGAGGGGGACTTTGCATCATCATCCACTCTTTAGAGTTCGATGCCGCAGCATCACCGCAGGCCAGCCTCTGCCCCAGTACCCTCCCTCGTTCCCACCCTCTCGATGCTCGCTCGTCTTAACCCCGGTCTTTGGTTGAACTTTGCCAGCGGAAGGTGCAAGCGCTTTCCCCAGGAGTAATTTCGGAAGTCGGATCGTAGGGATTGTTGATGGGGATTTGGAAATGACGACGTTATGGTCCAGGCATGAAGTTACTGTTTCTCGCACAATTGTCGTGATGCCAAAAAAAACCACCTCCCTTGTACCCTGCCATATATCAAGCCCCCCCACCCCCTGGGCAGTTGCCCTGTTCATGAAGCCCTCTTCCTCCCCTGTCTGTTCTTTTTTTCCCTCTCCCAATGTTACCTTTATGCAGTAGCTCCCAGCAGCAAGCTGGCCCCTGAGAGGAAACCGCTGCGCTACGGTGTTGCCGCCGGCAGCGTCGCCTTCTTCACCACCTCGTGGCAAGTTGAAGTCTTTCGAATCCCAGGAATGGACAGCCCGAGAATGGCAGGTTTGTTGTTGTCACAGACGTTACGCTCAACGGACGTCATTCTCGACGCAGAACGCAGTAATCTGCTGCTTGCCAGTGGCCCCGTCCTACACACCTCCATGATAGAAGGGAAATATATTCCCTCGTCGGGTTTTGTAACCTGCAATATGCGGCCGTGGACCAACGTGTCCAGCAATATCCATGACTTTGCGGGAACGGAGTCACTCCACCACAAAGGAGGAGTCTCTTCAGCAATCGTCGTGTGTTTCTTGGCTACACACCCACTCACCGCTCTTCGCGCCCGGAGCGCCGTCCTCCTCTTGCTGATGCCGCTCCATCCCTCTCCTCCTCCTCTACTCTTCCCACTCCTCCTGCTCTCCCATGTCTTGACCCTCGAGCCAATGCTGCAGCCGCATGCCGGTCGACGCGGCACCCATAGCCATTGCCCAGTTTTCCACTCCGAGCGTGAGGGTGCTGATTGTTACCATGTTCTTCACAAAGCGCGCGTGCGGCGTCCGGTGGCATGCCGGCGCGATAGCCAGCGTAATCCAGTGAAATATGCCCACCGCGTCGTTCCATGTCGACAGGGGTACGCGCCATGTCGTCGTCCAGATCTGCAGAAATTCTGATTCCGTGCATGTCCCGCTCAGCGGCGTCCGGGTCATGACGGCCCGCGTGTAAAGTAACGCTGTCATTCGGATAACCTGGTACATGAAGTCCGGACTCTGCTGCTGGTGGTATACGGATCGAGGTTTCGTCGGAGAATCGCTAGCGTCTCGGGTATGTGACTTGGTTGACGACCATTCGGATGTCGTGGTGGAGTCGGAATTCGGACCCGAAGGTGATCGGCCCGGGCCAACGGAGCCAGGCCCGGCTGCCGTACCTGTGCTGGACATACTCCTGCTTCGTATGGATTCTCTGTCGAAGGCGGCGGAATAATTGCTATTGGGCGGCGAGCTCGTTCGAGTCGGAGGATCTGAGGAGAGACTTTGGCGATGTCCAGGTGTGGTTGGGTGAAGACCGATGACATATTCATACATGTACTTTCCCATCGATCGGGCCTCTAGCGAGGCTTGGGTAGTTGTGTTGGCTGATGTCGTCGATTCATCGTAAATCGCGTCGACGACGCAGAAAAGATATCTCACATTGTCGAGTATCGAGGCCGTCGCCGGGTGGATGCGCAGACTCGTGGCGCAATCGGAGAAAGACGGGAGTGATCCGCTAGGCGGTAGATGGGAAACCAAGGGCGATAGATTCGCCATGCGAAGGGGAACGTCCTTTATAGGGTCGACGAAGGCGTATGGCGTCGCCAAGACCCGACGTGCTGAATTTGCCGCTTCTCCTGCTGTCGCTGACCCCGTCGACCCTTTGCATCCGCTTCCTCCGCCTTCACGGTCGTCGTCCGAGGGCGACAGAGTCAGTAGTAGTGGGCTGTTTTCGTGGGCGAGGGATATGGAGACATCGTGACTGTGCATATGAGTCAGTTCATCGGGAAGGTAAAGACGAGCCAGACGGGCATATCGTTTATTGAAAGAGGATCCGTTCGCGAGTCAAACGAATCAAGAGTCAAGGCCTAGAGCGAAAATAAGACCAGAGAGGGTCGGACGGACAAATGGAACCATGGTAAATAGGGCGGAAGATACTGCGTACGAGAAAATTGTCGGAAAAGCCAAATAAAGAACGCAGCAATAATGCGGGAAGTAAAATATACAGAACGTACAAACATACTGTTACATGAGTAGCAATCGTCAGGACACGACAAAGGCAAATATCAACACACCAAGGTATAACAGTCGCAACAAGGTCAATCCAGAAAACGTGCAATGATTCGAACAGTAGAAGAGGTCTACGTACACGATGGCGTTTTTCGCCAAGAGGCCGTCCATGCCGAGTTGATTGAAGCCGCCGCGTAACCTGATCATATCTCGCAAGCCCATGAGGTGGTATCGTAGGTCCTGGTCCGATTCGCCCCAGTACCATTCAGCCACGGTAAGCTGAATGACGCCGGCGATGGCCGCATCGCCGGGCTTTTGTGTTCCCGGGGTGGTTGAACTGTTTGCGTCTTCTGCGGTGACTGCGGTGGTGTTTGACGCCCTGCTTTTGCTGCTGTCCGTTGTTAGATTCTTGTTGAGCATTGCGATGGCTTGGCCTTTGTAAGTCCGCAGGACATCGGTCCGTACATCCCCAGTCTCGTGGAGGAAGCAGGCCGAGGTGTAGAGAATGATCCGCATCACCAGCGGATCTTGAAGGCAGAAGGGAGAGTAGTGACGGATAAAGGGATTGTTGGGGCTCGGGTCGCCATTGATAGAAGCTTTGAAGCGCGAGAGAACCGCGATATCTGTACTCGCTTGTCAGTATCAATTCTTTGGCTTCTCAGGGGCTGTGGCAACGTACACAGTCTGAGTAATTTCTTGTTCAAGGGGGTTTGGTCCACGGGCAAAAGTGCTATCTGCTCGTCTATACCGCTGGCTGGTCGCCCAGGGAATTGTATCCTAGACTCTGCTGGATGTGACCAAGCTCCAGGACTCAGCCCGTGCTGGGGAGTGTTGTCTTCATCAAGGACCGTTTCCAAGTTGTCGAAAACCAACTTTGGGACTGCTAGTCGATGTGACAAGACTTGCTGCGATGCTTGGAAGGTATCGGCATCGAGTACGCTGCGGTCAGGATTGGCCAGTGGAAGCCACGAAACCGATGGCGGAAGACATTCTGCGTCGATATTGAGGAGCTCTGAATCTAACCGTTGTGCACCAGTCGTAGATTGATATACTGCCGATTCCGAACTGGGGCTTGGATGTGACGTCGAGAGGTCTGATACAGCCCAGCCGGCGACAGAGGGACTCCCGAGTGGTCTTGTTGACTGAGACGTTTGTATCAGGGGAGGACTTACTCCTGGGAGTGTTGAGAGAAGAGGACCACGACCTCCTGCTCTGGCCGGCGTCAGGAAGGTAGACGTTCCCGGTATGCGGCTGCTGTCGTGTTAAATCATGTACAAGAGTGTGGTAACAGTCGTGGATTTGGAAGGAGAGAATGGGGACTGGGCTTCGGACTTACTTGCCCACACGATACTCGCAAACTGGTTGAGGGAAACGGCGGAGGCAGTTGCTACATGGCTGACCTTGATCACACTGTATCTGAGTTAGTCCTGTGGCTCTCAGACATGTGTGCTAAATACGAAGCGAAGACGCTTCTTTTGATATCTTGTAAGTGATCAACCAACACTTAGTACCGGCACACGAAGTACATGGCCAAAGAAAAGGAGTCTCAAGCACTCACTGTACGTGCCTTCTGCTTCCTCCGCCTGCACTCCCCACAGGAGGTTGTTGTTCTCTCAGCGCGTGCTGCGTTCCGCGACGCCCGCTGCTGCTGCGAGGCTTCGGACATCGTCTGAAAACGGCACGGAGGCGGCTGCTGCTTCTGCTTCTGCTTCTGCTGCTACTGCTCCCCCCTTTCGTCTTCCACGGAGCATCCGTTCCTGAGGTCCTTATTTTCTTGTTCCACCTTTCCAGCAGATCGGCGGCGGCGGCGACACAGTATCAAACATGACGTGACTTTGGACCCGAGAATCTGGTTGAAATGTTCCTGGTAAGGCTGACTTATAAACAAATCGGAGAAAAGAGCAAAAGGACATTGTCGAAGCCAGATCAAAGGAGAAAGGAGGCTTTGTCTGAGCTGCAGGTCGTCGGATTTTGACACATTTGGTCTAGCGTCATGGGGATGCCTTCCTTGGATCGAGCTGGACTGAGGAAAGGCCACAAACCAGCCCTCTGGTTCTTTCTTGGGGTTTGGTTGATGTGCACTAGCTTCCTCACTAGTGCGAGAGCCCAAAACCGGGAAGTGGTAGTTTGATGGTTCAAGGTTTTGCTCGCTGGAGAGATAGAGAGAGAGAGAAAGGGCGTATTTGGACCAGTCGCTTCGATGGAATTTCCGTGGGACACAGCTGATGCATCGATGTCGAGACATCGGATCGAGAGTTACGAATTCCGGTCTCGACACAACGAGACTGTAAGTGATTGCTGTGAAAAGGGTACGCCCGGCTCGACACCTCCTCCCATCGCTGCCACGAATGTCTCCTGACCGCAATCAACAATTGCGGCAGACGCTCTATTTTCGAAGCGTTCATGGGTCGGGCAATTAAGCCACGGGGCACCAGCCATCCTATCAGCCATAGGCTGACAGCAGAAACGGTGTAAGCTATGAAGCATAAGCCCCATCGTTGGCGGCTTGTAATGCTCGAGCCTTGTCAAAAGGAGACTGGACACTTGTCCTTGTAATACCATGCCACTGGTGAGATAGAGTCGATGCAGCAATGTGACGTCAAGCTGGAAGGTTGAGGACGGATTTAGCCGGCGAAACAGAACGATAGGCTCAGACAGCCTTTTCAACGGCCCGCTTTCGGTGAAGCCCGAGGCGGACTCTTGAGTTCAAGAATGCAGACCCAAAGAGAAGCCGGTGGTTCGTCAATGTGCGAAACACGGTCGAGCAAGTTTGATGTGCCGAGATTCGTGACAAGCCTACCCGGAAGTCTTCTCCATGCTGGGGAATGTGACGCCCACATTGTGACGAAACGATGCAGCCGCAATCAAGCAAGTGCGCTAGCACAAAACATGTGTGTCCAAATTCAGACAGCTGAAGTGAGCCCACGATGATTAGCTTGTGCTCAGTCTCGCGGATCTAGAGACCTCAAACTTAATCGACGTCACCAAAGGAACGAACTGGTCAGCTACAGCAGAAGCCAAGAAGGGCTGGGCCAGGCTTCCCGCTAAGGCAGAGCTAGCGCCCTTGGGCATCTCCATCATTCAAGCGCCCTGCGGAATTCGTCAGCCCTGTTCGTGGCGCACCGAATAAGCAAGAAATGAGGGATGGTTTTCTGTAAAACGTGTTCATAGAGACATTGTCGTGATGGCTTCAACCATCTGTGGCCTCACTGCCCGTCACGTGACCTCGGTTACATAATCACCGAGGCCCACACTCGCTCGCATCACCTATTTCAGAGCGAGCCTCGTACCTATTCTCTACTTTCAATGGATAACCGTTCTCTATCACACATCTCGATGCCCACAATGTGACCACACGACAGACATGGTTTCGTAAAACGTGCCTATAGAAGCCCGCTGTCGGCTCCCAAATGTCTCGGTTGGACTAGTCGAGGTAGCATTCCTGGGGGGTTCCCAATGCTTCGAAAAACTCCACCTCATGCCGATTCTTACTTTGGTCTGTGATGCGAACCGTGGGTAAGGTGGTAGGGAGGAACGAGACGAACATGAATGAGACATTGGCATGCCCCTTGTGCATTTTCACATTTGCTCTGGCGACGTTGGTACGGCGCCATGGGCGGCGAGCCTGAAAAAGCCTCGTTGGCTAGCTGAGTATCGTGCGGACGCCATTACAGATTGGTGCAATAGGGTTGATGTTGTGTCGACGGATGGAGCTTCGTTCTCGGCCCCAATTTTTGAGCTTTTGGTCTGTCAGAATGCGCAACGAAATGGCCGAGAGAATAGAAGTTCCAGCATGTCAACCAAGAGTTGAGGTGATCAAATCCAATGGAAATACAATGAGAGTAGAGACGTTATGTTATGGCAAGCTCAGGGGAACGTGCCTTTTAAGCTTAAGGCCGGTTCGCGATCGGCAGGGCCCACTCTGCCGTGACGTAGTTACCCACTAGCCGACCGAGTTCTCGGGTTCTCGCCACCGGCGGGAGAGCGGGAAGGTCCCGGACTTGGAAGTCGCTTGCTGCACTGAGATTTTAGGGACTGAGAGAAAGAGAGATGTGTAAGCGTGAAGAGATGTCATTATTTCATTAAACTGGCCGCGTGCGTGCTGTGCAACCACTGCACATGGCCAGTGGAAACACATGCGTTGGAATGGTATCTTTACTAAATCCCCCCTAAAACTTGATTCATTTCCCGAAAAGAACTCCCATTTGCTTCGTGCTCTGGGAGAGTCAGAGCCTCTTAACCCAGCATAGCTCTGATATTCACTTCTCCGTTGGTATTACTGCGTTCTGAGTGTTCTCACATGGAGAAACGGGGTATTTAATTGGTCTTCGTTCGTTTACCTCCCGCGGTAGTCCGGCTTTCTAGCCATGTTTACTGGTGGAGGTTCGTCATCCACTGGATAGGGTAGAGGCGACGAGCCAACGGGACGGCGGCCTCCGGCCGCTTGGTGTTCCGGAAGTGGTGTCTTAGGAGGCAGCGGTGGTGGAATACGCTGCGGTTGCTGCGATTGCTGGACCGGACCGTTGTTGTAAGGCTGGTTTTGCCATCGCGGATGCTCATCCGGGCTCATGATGGCAATCTTATCAGCGCCTGCTGCGTAACGATACTGCGCTGGGGTGGGTGCAGTGACAACAAGTCTGTCAACTTCATCGTCCTTTGCTGGGGGCAGGGGCCGTTGCTCGGGCCGCGGCGATGGCGATGGCTGCAGTCGTTCGCCGGAACTCCTTGGAGAAGGACTCATTGGCGAAGGGATGTGCAAGTGCTCAGAACCAGATTCGTAAGACTGGCGGCTAGGCGGCGTGTTGTGTGGTGGCCAGGAGGTGGGGATCTCGGCTGGCAATTCCACCGCAAACGACATTGGCTCAGTCGTCTCCGAGTTTGACTTGACCAGTTCAGGGACTTCTGGCAGGCGGGAAAACCTGATATTCGCTTTGTGAATCTTGGCCATCTTTGCAGAGGCACCTTGAATCATCTTCTGCTCGACTTCCCGCCTCAGGTATTGCCGTGTGCTCGTGCTGATTTCGGCCAGGCGATGCCATTCGTTCATACCAAACTCGCCGACGCCAACCTCCACATTGAGACGATAGTAGTTTTCGACGTTGACGTTCCGCTTCAACAAGTGCTCTTTCCTCATTTGCTCGTGGATCGCCTCGCATCCCTCAATCTTGGAGATGAGCTTCCGGCGGGCTTCCGCGAACTCTCCCAGGAAACCTTCGTACCACATCTGTGAGTTCGCATCACTTCCTTTGGGCCGTCTGCCAGTGCCAACGCTGAGAAACACGCCGACTTCGCGACCAGGCCACTCGTTTACTACCGCTTCGTCAAGAGCCTCGGGGGAAGGGTTGAAGGTGCCGCCGCCGTCATCGTGGAATACGGACTGTCCGATTTGGATAGGCTTGAATGCGAGGCCGATCGCACAAGTCGCCCGTCCAGCCTGCCAGATCTTGCAGTCAAATTCCGGCGGGGGTTCTCTTCTCGAATCGTAGGATCGCAGTACGGCAGCGGGGCTACCCTTGCGGGAGCCTTTGTACATTGCTAAGACGACGCTGAAGTGAAGGAAATGTCAGCTGAGAGTGTGCTACTATGCAGGCATGCCAGGCAGAGGGCCGGCAGTCATTGTGGTCAAATACGTACGTTTTGGTCCTGTTCTCTCTTGCGTCATAAAGTCTTGCGTTTGGATCACCGTAACGCGAGTTGAAGGCAGGTCGTGCCATCTGGGCCTGGGGGCTTCGTGCGCTGAAGCTGACAGTGCTGGCGTTGCTTGCATGTCTCCTGGGATTTGAGGTGTTATAGCCGCTGAGAGGGCTGAGTACATCGTTCTCGGTGCCGTCATTGCCCTCTTTCTGATACACTGTGTGTTCCCTCACAGCCTCCTTGATAGCCTCTTCAAGCTTGGAGGCCTTGAAGAGGGTTGAGCGGTAGGGAATGCCGGCGATGGTCTTGTCCGTCTCGAAGACCATGCGCGTCAACCTGACGTAAAGCTCCTTGCATTGCTCTAGATCTAGGCGCAGTCGACCGAGCATCAGGGCTATAAGACCGCCGGTACCGGTTCCGACGATGAGATCGAAATGATCGCAAGGCCGAGGGATTTCGTTTCGTCGCGGGGCTCTCCCCTCGATCTCGACAAAGGTGCGGTGCATGAGTTCTTGGAGAATGATAAACATGGAGTAACCACGGACTCCTCCGCCATCTGTCGCAAAGCATGTCAGTTGAGTGCATAGGCGTTTTCGGGCCAGTTTTGCAGGTCTTGCGCGCGCGATTTGGGTGTCGCGAAAGTGGCCGATCTGCTTCGTTTTGCTTACCTAGCGACAGGATGCGTAGGGGAGGACCCTTTGTGGTGTCCCTCCTCCTGACCCCATTGAGGTCTCGGTCCATGACGTGAGCGGGCTCCCGCAGGTCAGCCAGCTTGGTCACGATCCACTGGGCTGCTTGGTTTTGGTGTGGGGTTGTTTTGGTTGGCGTTGAGAAATGTCTGTTGGCGGTCGCAAAGTGTTTGTTTCTCGCAGAGTGGGTGTTGTTTTCTGCGAGATGTAAAATTTAGGAAATTGGGAGAAGATAGACTAGTACTGTAGGTACAAGTGTGTAAGTAAGGTAGGTGATTAGTTTAGGCAAAGCAAGGCAAGGCGGGTAAGGCAAAGTGCAGATGGTAATAATCCACTGCCCACCTGCGAATACAAGTACAAGGCCTGATCACGAGTGGGAGGGTGACGCAAAGAAACGGCTTGCGCCCTGCACCATCCACTAGGATGGGGTCTTGGCCAACCCTGTCACTTGCCCACTTTGTGGAGGAGGGACTCACCACTTGTGGTCACTCTACCGATGATTAGCAGAATGTTGTCGCATTCGCAGCTTGGGCTGCAATATGCGCGAAAGTCTGGAGATGGTCGGTTGCACGGCTGGTAGCGATTGCGATGGCGATGGCGGCGGGGAGACAGAAAACCCCAGCGAGAACCTGTATTCAACCTAACAGTCCGCGACTGCGTGTGACGCCACAGTAGCTAATTTAGAAATGGCCCAGGGTATTTTAGCGACTTGGGAATGGGCACGAATGGAAGGCCGCCGTTGCTGCTAGGCCCCGGTGTCTTGGCTCCCTCCCCTTGTGGTGTCGACGAGTGGGAGGCGGGAGTGAGATCCAATTAGGACAAAATCTTCTCTATAATGAGGCGCTGAGGGGTACCTGGACCGTAGAGCTCCGACCTGGGTGCGTTTTTGCAGCACGGCGAAGGCGAGATGAGGGGAAGGTGATCTCTTTATTCCTTTCGATTCCTGTTCGAAGCTCAAAGTTATGACGGGAGGGCGCCGACGGGACTTGGGAGTTGAAGAAGAAGGAATCGGGAGCACCGGCAGGGAAAGTGGTAAAGAGGCAAACAATAAAGTGGGAGACGGAAAGAGAGCCCAGTGGTCACTGGTGGCAGGATGGAAGGTGTAAGATACTCCTCCAAT